GTCCGGACGGTTGAATATGCATGTCCAGATGCGTGTTGTTAAGAATGTCAATGCCAATAGTAGAGTTGGATTTCAATTAGATCTTTTTTTAAGGGGAATATATTTAAGGAGTGGATATTTGGGATTGGAGGCAGCTTTTGCTTTAGTATTCTTATTTATTTTCTGAAGTACGTATTGTTATTGACTTATTGGTTTAATAGTATGTGGTATTTTGTTAATTTAACTTTTGATTATTAGTAAAAATTTTGCTCCATAAAGATTTTTGAGTCATTGTGTCTTATACTTTGATTTCTTGAATTTCCCTGCGAGACAAATAACTAGTTATTCCTTTCTTAAGTTAATTACAATTTATTTCACATAATAATATAGCTAGAGGATTATGTGTTAGGTCAGGAATGTGATTGCTAAGAAAGTTTGATTTATTATAGACTCCAGGTACAGTAAATACTTACTATCAGCAAACAGTTCTTTGATTTTTCTGAATAAACCTTTGGTTATAAATAGTGGTGTTTTCTTGTTCTCATTGCTAAATTCACTGATTGGAGTTAGTTGACTATTCAACTCATGTCTGGGTTTGAAAATTAAGTCTTTAATCATTACTGCTTAAATTTGAGAGGGTGTACCTGATGCTCTAGTATTTTACATATTATTTTAATTAATTTATTTAGTTATACCAATTCAAACACTCTAATTGAGAACATTTTTACAATTTTGTTAATAGATTAAGTGTGACAACTATTGTTTTTACACTTCCTCGAGGGTTCGACCTAAGTCTTCCAAATTTATATTACTTTGCACAACCTGTGCTTGAATTTACATATTTAAAGTTGTAGCATGAGACTCTGCCCAAAAGTCATATTGTTTACGATCTCAGTAAAGGGAATATTATTGTCATGGTGTCGGGTTATGCAGCATACACGGGTATTTCTGCGGGTTAATAAGTGATCAACGGGTTGACAAAGGATCCCCAATTTTAGGGGCGTCACAACAACCCTCAATTTACAATTCTTTATATGATTGAATTCAAACTTAGCTTCAATCAAGTATGTACAAAGAGTGTTCCGAAATTGTGGCACACCGCCTTCAAACTTCTGACCTTCATCTCATATTTTACTAACCCACCCAAATATTAGTAGTACTTTCTCATTGTGAGAACTAAAATCATCCTCAGAATCAAACTCATCATCCTCTATGTGGACATCTTCAAGTAAAACATTATCATCAAGAGCACATGACTCGTCATATCGCACAAACACCATAACATCAGCATAATTGTCTAGGATACTCTGTCAACTCAATCATATTCTTCGTATCTACGTCATTGCTCAAAATGCAAGCAAGGTGAACAGTATAAAATATAACAAACCAACTATTTTTCGCAAACTTCATGCACAACATTATTAGATTTGAACTAACAGAAACTCTGATCACAGACATTGCCTTAGTACCATATTTGCGTAACAATAACATCGTTTCCTCTTTAGAAACTCTTGTCATTAATAAAATAAATGAACGTGGTTGCAAAAATGGAGGAAATTTCATTAATGAATCAGAGACACCAAAATGAGACACAAATACTAAATGTGAATTATGTACNTCTCTTTAGAAACTCTTGTCATTAATAAAATAAATGAACGTGGTTACAAAAATGGAGGAAATTACATTAATGAATCAGAGACACCAAAATGAGACACAAATACTAAATGTGAATTATGTACATCATATAATTTATTTATTTTTTGGGAGGGAGAAGGGGAAGGGGAAGAGGGGCTTAAACCCTTGATCTCAAGAACGTAAAATCTTTACAAGATAAGGAGTACTATTAGACCAAATACCCATTGGTACACATCATACAATTATGACTTGATACAATTCAAAGAATATTCAATTTGTTTAATAACGAAACTTTGATAAGAAATAATTATATAAAACAGTATGATCAAAATAATGAAATCAAAAACATGACAGTAGAAACAATCACATGAACCGTACTATAGAACCCAAAAAATGAACCAACACACAATTACGAAAACACAATTTAGACATAACATTTATAATATTACAAAAATTATACGATGTCATAATGATATTATAAAGAAAAAAACTAGTGGAATGTCACAATATCTAGAACAGAAACGAGTTATTCTGTAACCAAAACAAATTTATTTTGTTATTAAAAACAAGAAATGGAAAACACAATTTTGAACTTGATATATGATCGTACTTCGACCTTCACGTTAACCAGCACAAATTAGTTGTTGAAATTTATGAAATATAATATTTAATGGCTGACGTGAGAAAAAAAATTACGTTTGATAGCAAAAATATTGAGAATATCATTCCAAATTTAAACAGTTATTTAATCCATTAATTTAGGAAATATATAATCTAATATAACGGATTCAAAAAATAATGAAACTATCAAATCTAAAGTGCATGATTTAAAAAAAAGGAAATTACGTTAAACAAAAATATAAAAAACTGAAAATGTGTGCATGGTCATAAAATATTTAGGAACATAAGGACTAAATGACTTAAAAGTATAAGATATGTAATTTCAAAAAAATAAATATAGTATAGTGTATTCCTTATTAGTATGAGCCAGGCTTGATGAGATTAACAATTAATGAGTAAAAATTTGATTCAAATTATCCAAAATTTAAATTTTGAATGTCCAATTGGTGAAAATTTATATTTCGAAATTCTAATGGCGAACTAATTGAAGTGTAGTGATTGGAAAGTTCTCTATTTTAGATTTTGCGCCAAGATTTTACCATTTAAAATTTGAGTATTATTTCCAACCTTAAAATTTTAAGGAAAACTTTCATCAACACCTCGTTTAGTTTGACATAAATTTAAAAACATCACTTGCATTATTGAAGAACTTCATTAACACCCCATGTCATGTTTGCCACTTATAGGCGCTACAAACATCCCTTTTTTTTTTTTTTTTGGTCATAGATTGTCCAAACTATTTTTTCGAACTCAGCAACTCGTTACCGTGACTTTAATTGGTCTAAAGAAAGTCTCCAAAAAGACAACACTAACTAGCAACACCGGTGACTTACAATTATACTCCTAATACTTAGAAAATTGAAAAAAATATATTCACATCCGGTGTACTTAATCATATCTTCACAAACACTTCTTTTATTTCTTGAAACTTCACTTTGACAAATTTTAGCAATTAACAGAGTTAAAGGTGTGGTACATGCATTGCATTGCCACTAGTTCAATGTAATGATATAGTCGGGAAGATATATTAAGTTTTGAGGAAAAGTAGAATTTTCTAAAATTTTAGGAAGGTAAGTGTAATTACTTAGAACTTTTGGGGAGTTGTGCCTGGAATAGGGTAAAAGTTTGTTTAATATATATAGGTCAAAATATGATTGCCCAAAANTTAAGTTTTGAGGAAAAGTAGAATTTTCTAAAATTTTAGGAAGGTAAGTGTAATTACTTAGTACTTTTGGGGAGTTGTGCCTGGAATAGGGTAAAAGTTTGTTTAATATATATAGGTCAAAATATGATTGCCCAAAAAAAATCAGAAATAAGTCGATGGTTATATAAAACTTTAAAATGTAACCAAAAGCAAAATGGGAAATTAATATTTCTTTTTTTAAAAAAAAAAGTATTAGGGTTGAATACTTGCTACTGATAAATATATGCAATAAAAATATAAAGTACATATAATAGGTGATGGGTGAAAAATAAATAAAATAAATATAAAATAGAGACAAGGTGGACATATATGTTCTTTCGTTGGGTCAAACAAATCATTTTCTGTGCATGATTCTCAATATCAGATAAATCAATCAATACATTTTCTAATGTCAAACAANGCATATAATAGGTGATGGGTGAAAAATAAATAAAATAAATATAAAGTTGAGACAAGGTGGACATATATGTTCTTTCGTTGGGTCAAACAAATCATTTTATGTGCATGATTCTCAATATCAGATAAATCAATCAATACATTTTCTAATGTCAAACAACTTCATTGATCCACACCCACACTCCCTATCTCAGCCTAATTTTTTTTTCTGTTCATTTTAATTTTGAATTACGTAATTAAAAAAATAAAATGTTATACAAAATATAAATTTTAAATGATTAACTTGTATATTTTTATATTATAGAGTATTTTTAAGCATGGGATTATTGGTAGTTGATAGATAAATCACCAATTGGATCTTCACAATTCCATATTTTTTATAATTGGGTACAAATTTAATTCTCCAAAAAATGGAGGTGCCAAAGGATACAATCGAGTGAGACTCTCTCACCATGCAACCGAGAAGAGTAAGAAATAAGGGATTCTTTACCCCATGCCTGAAAAGTGAAAAGCATCTGATGAAACCAAAAAACATATACAGAGAGTGGGGTACACTTTAAATAACAGAAAACTTAAAATTACCAAAACCTCCATTTTCTGTCAGCAAAAAAGATTTAAACTTGTAGGCCGTGAAGAGATAAAACACTTAAAGTTAAAAGTGTTTAAATTTTATCTTTTTTGTAGAATATTACTCAAGATTGCAAGCGTAAATTACACCTTGTCTTTATTAATGAGTTTAGGTAATTAAATGACATTAAGGGGTCAAAATGTAATTAATCCAATGGTCATTTTGGTCTTTTACCTATTTCTGTTAGCTCTGTTATTCGATCCCCAATAAGGAGAGGTTCAAATATAATATTTCAAATATTAAGAAATTTATGCAATTTAATAACATGTAATTCACTATAAAATAAACGGACCATGTTTACTTTCTTCGATGGGAGGTAATTAGGTACATATTTGAAACTATGGAGGAGAATTTAGTCAAAGGATAAAATGAGTTTCAGACTCGAACATCGAGAAGCTGACTGGTGTCTTCTTGCACACTCTGCTCAGCACATTTTTGTCTCCATTCTTTCAATAACTTTCCTCAGATCGCTCAACTAAGGGCTAGCTCTCTCTCTCTCTCTCTCTCTCTCCCCCCCTTCAACTTTCCCTTCTGTACCTGCATTCTGCAACTATTGTAAGAAAACAAGCCCTAAAAACTCTCTCCAAAACCCACGGGTCAGGACCAAAAGATCCCATCTTTTTCCGCTTAGTCCTCACCACAATCATTTGCCCATTGAACATCTCTCTCTACCCGCTCTAAAAACCCTGAATCCCTACTAAAACCCAGCTGAATCCCAAAAAGAAAAGCCCATCCTTTTTTCACGTCCAACAGCTAAGCATTTCCTCTCTCTCTCTCTCTCTCTCTCATCTGGAAAACCTCAGCAAAAATCATTTATTTTCCGTCTCTCTCTAACTCATTTCAAAATCTCTGCAAAAACCCATCTTTTTCCACATCAAACGCTCACCCACTAAACCCGAAACCCTGCCCAAATGCCTAGCCAAACACCCAAGTGTCTCCACTTCCCCTGCCTCTTTCTCTTCACAATCTTCACCAGTATAGCTTTTGTAACCCCCAAATCCACCATAGAACCCTGTTCAAACTCAGACTCATGCAATGCCCTTGTAGGCTACACTCTCTACACTGACCTCAAGGTCTCCGAGGTCGCTTCCCTCTTCCAAATTGACCCCATTGCCCTCCTCACCGCCAACGCCATTGACATTGCTTACCCAGACGTTGAAAACCACATCCTTCCCCCCCAACTTTTCCTCAAAGTTCCCATTACTTGCTCTTGCATCGACGGCATTCGAAAATCCACCTCGACCCACTACAAAACTCGACCTTCCGATACCTTATCGACCATTGCTGATTCGATTTATGGGGGTCTTGTATCGGCTGATCAAATAAAAGAGGCCAATACCATATCGGACCCTTCGGTTCTTGATGTTGGGTTGAATCTTATGGTGCCTTTGCCTTGTACTTGTTTTAATGAGACTGATAATAATTTGCCTGCCATTTATATGTCTTATGTGGTGAAACCGATTGACACATTGGCTGGGATTGCCGCGAGGTATTCGACTACCATTACTGATCTTATGACTGTTAATTCCATGGGTGGTCCTGCTATTTCGGATGGTGATATACTTGCCGTACCATTGTCGGGTAATTTAATATTCCCTGTTGTGTCCGTGTGTGTGTGGTGTTCACTTGTTTGTTTGTCGTGGTTAGTGGTAGCATTGACATTTACCATGGCTTTTCTCTGTTTCTGTCTGACTTTCTTGTAGCTTCAGTGTGCAATANTGTCGTGGTTAGTGGTAGCATTGATATTTACCATGGCTTTTCTCTGTTTCTGTCTGACTTTCTTGTAGCTTCAGTGTGCAATNGTGGTTAGTGGTAGCATTGACATTTACCATGGCTTTTCTCTGTTTCTGTCTGACTTTCTTGTAGCTTCAGTGTGCAATAGATGGGTTTTACTGAGTTATAGCCAAGCTTTGTTTAGTAGGTTCAGTTTTTTGCAAATAGACTTGGTTATTATCCTATTGGTTGGTCAACTAGATGTCTACTTGATATGGATATTCTGTTTATAGTTGTGATTGGCAGAATTGTTATTATCATGACCTTTATCTATAAATTTTATTGAGGTTCATGTAACTCAGTGCATATTTCATTAAGTTCGAGTCTAGTTTTGTTTCGTCTATTTGGCATCCAATTGCGAGACTAGCTACTATCATAATGTTCTTCATCATTTTATTGAATTTCTTGTTATTGGGTTTACTTTGTGTGTATTTAACTCTTTTGATTCAGCAGCTTCTTTAAGTAATTGGTTTGTCTTAGAAGTTAAAACTGAGATATGTTTTTGCTTGTTCTTGAATGTGTGGGACTATTCACACCCACATATATCCGTTAATACCCCATACAACTCCCTAATTTAAAACTACTAGGCTCATCCAATTCTATACCCATCCCATTAATGACTCAGCCCACTTCCACCCTATTAACTTGGTAAATATAGAATATTCTTACCCCTTAACTCTTCATCATTTCACATGTGGGATGTGGCTTGTAATGCCTCAAACTCAGGAGTAATAGAGAGTTTACATTAACATTTGTGTCTTGGAGGATAGTAACATCAACTTGAAAGAAGTTGAAGAGCGTCAGGCCCATGGATCCCCTTCCCAACAAGAAAACTTCCCAACAAGAAAAAAGGTTAAGATCGTGGTGAATCTTGCATAAATGATATAAATGCTACAATATCTTCCAATCATTGGTTCCCAACTCACTTAAAAAGAAACTTGATGCTCATGCAGGAGGATGTGTTCTATCTTATTTTTCAAAAACTCATCCAACTTCATTAGTGGAGAAAATGACTTTGCTGTAAAATTTTGGGACACTAACAGTGGGACACTTGCATGCTGCATGGCTTACATGGATCAATTTATTATGTTACTATTAGCTTACATAAATGGTTGCTTGTTAGAAACCTCTCATCTCGAAAATTATGCGTTTTGGGACACAAATTCTGGTCAATTAATTGGACATTCACAGTTATAGGCAAAAACTTTGTATAAGATTAGATAGAGAAAGAAANTTTGCTTGTTAGAAACCTCTCATCTCGAAAATTATGCGTTTTGGGACACAAATTCTGGTCAATTCATTGGACATTCACAGTTATAGGCAAAAACTTTGTATAAGATTAGATAGAGAAAGAAACCATAAAAATGGGAAGATTAAGGGTGGGAATAATTTATGACTGAGATGAAGGTGGTGTGTAGATTGGGATGAATTTAGTCATTAATGGGTGGGGTAAAAGAGTGGCTTAGTTACTAATGCAGTGGATTTAATAGTTTTGCAATGGCTAGGGGATGGGTCTTTGTCAGTTGGGATTAGTCCCACCTTTCTTGAATTGTAATATTTGTGTTCCTTTTGCAAGTGGTTAACTGTACTGAGATTTTTATGAGTAGTGCATTACAAGAAGAAATTTTTGTCAACAATATCACCCAGAAGGATGTGGCAGTGGCTATATGAAATTGCTGTTGCCGTTAATGCTCCATATTTCTGCAATATTGATCAATTAACACGCTGCATCATTTTGTATGTGAATATTCCGATTGGGAATTCTGTTTTTGTATCATTACCTAGATATTTACAAGTTTGTTTAATGGCTGACTATGGTGGTTCGGTTTTTCAGCTTGTGCATCTAACTTTCCTAGATATGCCTCGGATTATGGCTTGACTGTGCCAAATGGAAGTTATGCTATCACTGCAAGTCACTGCGTGCAATGCAGTTGTGCACTTGGGAGTCGCAAGTAATTGATCAACTTTGCTTGAATTCGTTTTATTTTGTTCTAGATCTTACTCTTCTTGGAAATAAATTTGATTCTTCCTTTGCATATAAGCCTTATCGTAATGACTTGATTGTGCTTCTTATGCAGTTTATACTGCATGCCAGCTTCCTTGGCTGTTTCTTGCTCGAGCATGCAATGCAGAAACAGTAATCTCATGCTCGGAAATATTACATGGCAACAGAGTAGTGCTGGATGCAATGTTACTTCCTGTAATTATGGTGGCTTTGTCAATGGATCCATTATCAATACGTATGCTTTCTCTACTATTCTTCTGGAATATAAATTACTGTTATACAGAGTTCTGATGGTTGAATTCTTCAATCCTTATCTTTTTGCTTGCAGGTTGTCCGTATCTCTTCAACCTCGATGCCCAGGTAACTTTTGTTCAAGCACGCGTAATTAAGTATATTAGAAAACATATAAAATTCCAATAAGTCACATTTGGGTGTTTGGATTATTCTTGGCTCTACTTAATCAAGGTATAAGCTTCTAAAAACATTTTCAGTTTTTCCCTAGTGGTAGTGATCTTGTCTTGTCTTATCAACTTCTTTGGTAAAATGCCACTTGGAATGTGATAACGAGATTGATGCTCTTATCAGAGGTTGTTGCATTTAATATTTAAACATATTTTTTTAACCACCTTCTGTTGATCAATTCTTTTAACAAGTTTTGAATGTTGTAATTGATACAGGACCTCTGCAATTTCCTCCTCTCATAGCCCCACCCACTTCAGTCATCCCAGATTCATTATTTGCTCCAGCACCTTCACCTTCTCAGTCTGGTGGTGCTCCGACAACGATTCCAAAGTCTTCAGTAGTGCCTGCCTCTGGCTCAAGTATAGCTTTTCCTCCCACAAATGGACCCAGCGGAAGTGCCTTTGGTGCTTCTGGTGCTTGCTCCTTGATGAATCCATTGGCCAGTTTTCCGATTGTTGTTGGTTTAGGGATGTTTTTCAAGTGTATGGTGTCATTCTCATTGTAATTTTTTGCTCATCAGTTGTGGGACTAGACGGTGTGATTTTTTGTTGCTTGTTTCCTGCTCTCGACCTAGTCCCGCTTGCTTGTTGTATTCAACTTTATTTATCTGTCAGTTGATTGATTCTTGGCCATGAGATTATTTTTTGTTCCTACCATTTTGTTCACTCAGTTGTCTTGCCCTGTTCTAGAGACTCGTAGTTTCTGCTTATGTAATGTATGTTTGTTCGAGCAGTGTTCATATCTATTCATTTGTTTATTTAGCCATACATGTTGTGACTTGGTTGACAAAGATGACATTGATTTGATCGGTACCATTGATTGAAAAACATCAGCGTTCAATGAATGATATCAAGTGAGAAGCTGTTTTTTATGTTAGACATATATACAGTTTAAGCAACTTAGGCAATTTAAACATAATTTTATTTTCGAAGTCCTAAACTTTCCAAGATCAACAAGCCAAAAACTGCTTACAACAGATCACATTGAGTGGGCAAAAAGGACACAGTTTCCTTCTCAAGATCATGAAAAACCAGCAGATTCTGCTGCTGAATATTCCCGAATATTGACATCCCACTANTTTTATTTTCGAAGTCCTAAACTTTCCAAGATCAACAAGCCAAAAACTGCTTACAATAGATCACATTGAGTGGGCAAAAAGGACACAGTTTCCTTCTCAAGGTCATGAAAAACCAGCAGATTCTGCTGCTGAATATTCCCGAATATTGACATCCCACTAGACGCAGCCATTGCCAAGCACACCACCCCCATCTTCGTATCAACTATCATATAATTCTCCCCAGGCAACTCCAAATCCATACCCTTGAAGTGAAACTTTAGTTTCGGAACCGTAATCTCTGGGGTATCGTCTGTTGGCAGATCAAAGCACAGGTCAAGTCCTATACTATCCTCTTGGGACCTCCTCAGCTTCATCTGTCTAATGAACTCTTTCTTGATCAAACCAAAAGCATCCTCTTGTATGTAAGTTATGGTGGTTCCAGAGTCAATGATCATGCCCCCACTGCCATCTTCTCCAATTTTAAACGTGGTTTTCGAGATGGGTAATAAGGTTTCTCCCACTGTGATCCCTTCTAAATAGACATAGTAAAATGATGGTTGGAAAGGATTTTGTATCAGTGAGGTCCCTTGAAGTATACCAACACTTGAAGTAGTATAGTTCAAATCAGCTATAGACCCTAAAAGTAGACTACTTGTTTTGTTCTCACCTATGGAGGTTAAACAGTACGAGAATTTTTTTAAACCAAGCTGTGAAATGAGTGATAACGGTCCGCGCCCTAGTCCCACTAGGCCTGAACCTTGGCCTAACCCTGTGCCTTGGTTGTTTACCCCACAACCAAACCCTATATTTGGTATGGACACAGGGTCATAACCCAAGTCCCCAAAAGTGAAAGTGTCCATTGCCATGAATCCTTGTGTGGATGACTCATCTCCATACATGTACAAGTACTTGCACCCATTATTGCACTTGAAATAGTCCATATCTTTACATAATTCACTAGAACATGAAATATTAGAGCATGTAGATGACTTCTTGGGATCAAAAATCTGGGTTGGTTGATCAAAACACTCCATGCATGGGGTGCATTGTGTCCATATCAAGTCGCTTCCTGTGTCCATTATGGCATAAAAGGGTAGCCTTGGTGTTCCAATTGAAAATTCCATCAGGAATTCTCCATTACCAACATGGACCGGGGCTTGAATGTTGTCGATAGGGGGAGTAGTTGCCATTGCACCATACCTCTTTATCCTAATTTTGTCACGGTGGATTGATCGTTGGACTGATTGTAGTTTGGTGAAATTATGACCCGAATCAACGTGCTTTAGGCCCACCCGGAACCCCAATTGCTCCTGCTGGTGATCAAGAACTTGCCTTGATGTGGACAGTGCTGTTGTAAGAAGTAGGAATAGCAAGGAAGCCAAAAAAGGAGCTGAAGCCATTGGGGCAATGAACCATGCGATGAAGGAAAGAGTTACTGGATATATATACACTGAAGAGAGGTGGTCAGAAGTGGAGAGAGTGGGAAGGTGAATGGGTTATAACTGCCATGAGTTCATATGAAAGGTAGAGGGACAACATATAATAGGGCTCATAATGCAATCTCTCCCCATAACAAAGATGGTCTTTTCATTTCATAGTTGTTAATTAATATGGTGCAGTCTCTTTCTCCACATAATAAACAGTGTCGTTTCATTTCATTCATGATTGTTTTAATTCAATAGTTAATAATCTGTTTGATCAGTAAATGTTTTTCAATCCATCAATCAGAAAGATGGTGGCTATGCAAGGGAATAGTTCAGACTAAAATTGCCAACTCCTTATGTTTTGAAACAGGATGAGGATAGGATTTACCAAATGGATAACCCAAATAAAATTCAAAAGTTAAATCCAAAAATGTATATCTTCCCTTAGACGAGTGAATTCCTCTAAAAAACATTTGATAAACCGCACTCATCCAAGGGATGATATGCTTTGAATTTTGTAGCGTTGCTCTTACCAAATAGTAGGTCGCAAAACACAATTCTTGACAGAAAATAAACAAATCAAAAAGCAATTGAATAAAATAATTGGAATTACACACAATACAAAGAAAAATAATAAAATTCTTCAAATTTATGCTCATCCAATTCTTTTAGATTCCCCATCCATCACGCTTCCAAGGACAGTAGGCAATAAATTGCTGGTGATCTCGACTGTCCACCTCAACAACTACACTTGCTAAGCAAAGATGCTGCACATTCAGCATGCAAACAGGAGTTGGAAGTTCCCACCTTGTGATGGTGAATTAATGATTTGCTTCCAAGAGATCAACAGAAATTTTAGCAAATGTCAGATACTTGGACAACAGACGTTCAGTTTCCGTGCAACTTCATAAGATCAGCTCAAAAATTGCCACAAGAAATAGCTACAAAGTTCCTTGAAACCACTATTTTATCAGATGAGATAGAATTGGCAGAGAATCATAAAGCTTCTGGGAACTTTTATGAGATCAACTTAGAAAAACCCAAAGTAGTAGCTAAAAATTCATTGAAAACAGAGTAGGTGTGACCATGACGTTTTACCTTTAATATATACAAGAATAACATTAAGCATAAGGATTAAATCACACAAGGTTTTACAATGAGACTGGAAATTACCAACTCAGGGTAATAATCTTCAAACTGCAACTGACACAGCACCAATGTTACTCACAATTAACGGACAACATACTAGCATAATTGAGTGGTTTTGTGGTCTGTACAGGTGGACACACTCGGAAGTCACGAGCAATTTTAGGTATATTCACATTTGTTATGGATCAACACAAGGAACAGCTATGTTCAAAGAGCCTTTAGAACAACTTTGCTGGTTGTATGAACTCCCATTGCAGCAAGTTTCAAAACAGCACGACCCTGGTACAACCTGCAAAGGGAATCTCAAGTGAGCACGCCAAGATCTTTTCTTACAATAGCACTAATTTCTTCCCATATTGTACATTTTAATTTCGAAAATACAGCAAGTGGCTTACCAGTTGAGACACACATATGCTAGGCACGTCAGAAATTGAAAATCCCATAAAAATCATGAGTGTACCTTTGACTACCATATCAAATTTAAATAATGTAAATATTTGTATCTCTGTCTAAACAAATGAATTTTCTTGATTGTCAAAATTCAAAATCCTACAAGCCAATAATTTTGAAGCTTCACTATAAGATTTGAAAGGATCAAAACAGGAAATTCTTCTTTTCTTTTGGTTCAGTCACACTTCAACCAATCATTGAGGGCGAAGTTTGCACAATGCTACTCTCTTTATCTTTTGATGTCCTCCTTAAGTTTTGTTTTGTTTTGTTACAGAAGGCTTGAATGACTTTTATAAATGCCAAAGGCTAGCTGATTCTTCCTTAGACTCAAATGCAGGCCATTGGGCTACAAACGATATGGAGATCTTTAAATTTTAACTTGCATTGCTAAACAGATAAATTGGGTATCTATAACAAAATAAAAATTTCTCTAAATCTAAATAGATAGCTCTTTCAATCAAAATAATCAAGATAAGACTGTTGGATTCAGTCAACCATTCATGGGCATAGTGCGTATGAGAAATGTGTCTCAATTTCCTCATTCAAATTTAAAAATCAAAGATAATTTAAATGTGGAATTCTGCGAGTGGTTACTCGTTACTGTCAAGCCTCTGTTTAACTGTATGGTAGCAAGGAAATTGAAGGTAAAGTTCTCTAGAGACGACAATACGTAGGAAGAACACAGATAGAACGCACCCTGCCAAAGCAAGTCCCCAGGTGGACAGGGAATAAAGCATTAACCCAGCATACCAAAAATGTAACATCTTGTCCAACTTGTTCATGCCACCCAGTGCTTTGGTAAGGGCTGCAAGTTTAACTTTTCATGTCAAGAGACCAGCACTAGTATCAAATCACACAATTAACAAATTAAACTTAGTTTAATAAGGCAACTATCAGAGGAAACAAATCAAGCTACTGTTGGATATTGCTTTTTTAAAGGAAAAAGCAATTTCATCATTCAAAAAGCATATTACTAATCAACAAAACTCATTTATTTTCACCTTAGTACATATATAAGACACTTAGATGTGAGCACATGTAGACTACTACATACGCCATTGGACTTGAAGGAAGAGAGCAACCCTAGAAAATGAAAAAGCAAAAATTCAAAATCAATGCTACTTAAAGATAAGTAATTAAACCCCCCCCCCCCAACCAAAAAAAAAGAAAATTTATTACGTTGACCAATATTTAAGAAAATAAAGATGTACGGACACATGAGCTACTAGAGGTGAACCACCTTGCATGAAACTTTTTTCTTTTCTTAAAGAAGCATTATGAGTCATATATTAGCCTCCAACAATGTCAATACGTAGGCCATCTCCACTCCTTACTCAAACTCAAACTCAAAAACCCTTTCCAATCTTTGATTCAAACCTATATCAAAACAAGGAAAACCCTTTTCTTGACTAAAATGGAGGAAATACCAAACCTTTTACTCAAATTTTTAAACCAAAAACATTACTCTCCTCTTCTCTCTTGTGATGTCTGNCTTTCCAATCTTTGATTCAAACCTATATCAAAACAAGGAAAACCCTTTTCTTGACTTAAATGGAGGAAATACCAAACCTTTTACTCAAATTTTTAAACCAAAAACATTACTCTCCTCTTCTCTCTTGTGATGTCTGTGTCGTTTCCCACCAAAACCAAACCTTGTTCTCTTTGTAACCTTGCCAAAACCAAACCTATTGAAGGATTCTGTTGATAAAAGATGGGTTTTTTTAATGATACCGTCGACCTCAGAAGATACCATCGGCTTTAGAAGATACCATCAGCTTTTTTTTTTAAGTTGAGTTTTTTTTTGTTGAAGGACTTTTGTGNCCATGACGTTTTACCTTTAATATATACAAGAATAACATTAAGCATAAGGATTAAATCACACAAGGTTTTACAATGAGACTGGAAATTACCAACTCAGGGTAATAATCTTCAAACTGCAACTGACACAGCACNTCATGACGTTTTACCTTTAATATATACAAGAATAACATTAAGCATAAGGATTAAATCACACAAGGTTTTACAACGAGACTGGAAATTACCAACTCAGGGTAATAATCTTCAAACTGCAACTGACACAGCACNGAGTTTTTTTTTGTTGAAGGACTTTTGTGCTTGTCTTGATTTTGTGGACTGATCTATGCGTTCAATCATGGAGCCATTTTCTGTGATGTTTGTGGAAAAAATTTAAAGAAATGAGCTTTTGGGACAACATGAAAATTTTATAAAAAAATTTGAGTATAAATTTGGTTTTATGGGAGAAGTCCATACCAAATCAAGCTTTTTACTCATTTTTTTTACTCAAATTTGAGTTTGTGTTTGGATCAACATTGAAGATGCCCTTATTCCATTCACAAGCATTAACCTAGTCATTAACAAAGTGAAAACTAATTGCACAAAATTGTGTCATATCCATATTCTGCAACTCACAAAAACCATATCATCTTATTTACTTTTTATTCTGTTCAAACTTATCTTTAATGGTTTTTTATGAAGTCGCACCGGGAGCTAGTGTTTGCTATCTAAGAATTGCTCCATGGATCTCCCCGCAATGTTTGATGCTTCGTGGGGCTTCTTTGGCGAAACATGAAGTCACCGGATGAATTGCCAAGTAGATAGCTCAGATCCGAATGCGGCTGTTGCTCTGCGGCGATCCAGACTCGACCCGCTCCTACCCTCTTTTAATTGGTTCCATATATAACTAAAAGGAAATGATTTCGTTGGGCACAATTTTATGGACTAAACAGCTCCTTTCAAAGATATTCCCCATAAGCCTAAGAATTTCTTCAAATACTATAATCTTTAATAAATCTGCTCATAAGACTTACCCTACTTTAATATTGTGTTACTTAACCTCCAAGAGAAACTATTTATATAATGGAACCCTAACATTTTCTTCGAACTTATAAATGTGATGTACCTAAAAAGACACAAGTCCACATAGACAGCTATCACACCCATCATGTGTACCCATAGCTACCCTCCCATGTTGCGGTTATAAGTTCCCTCTGTTTAGTTTGGCCTCACTTTTCAAGTGTTGCTGCACACAGTCTAACAGGAAAGTTACTGGGAAAACTTTGGCAGTTTTGAGCAGACATATGCTCCAACTAGAAGTTTCTAGCAAGCTCACCAGCTATTTCTTCCATTTTCTTGATGCCTACATAGGTTCCCCAAGAAAGATTGGTACTTACTAGGCCACCAAGATGGTTTATTAGTTAACTGCATTAGGATATGTGGACCAAAACAAATGCAACCATGGAAATACAATCAGTAGCTATGATTGTAAGGCTAATCATTTTAGTACTACCATGGATTTCTAGGAACCCCCACGCCCACAAATTCACAAGGTCATCATAAGGGAGCATTAACCCATCTATGCTGGTACCTACTAATATATTTATTATTTGCTCCTCTTTTTGCAGTTTAAGCATATTAGTTATTCTACCCCATTTCTCTTCTGAAGGAGAATATTGCTTCATTCTTCTTTCAATAATTGCAATTTGTCCCAAAAACCTGGGAAAATATGGGCAGGACATGACCAAGGTCATCACAATGATAGTTGCTCTACTATAAGATGAGGGTCAAATAATAATACCACAAAGAAGTGAAGTTCTCTGAAAAGAAAGATGCACCAAGTAACAGTGACACCCATGTTTAAGAAACAAAAAAGAAATAAGGATCAGAAACACTGGTAAATTATCCCAAACCAAAACCAAAATATAATACTAATCTATAAAAAATATTCCAAAAAACACTGATGGGGGGCAATGAATAAAGATATTAAGGCTCCACCATTCTAATTAAAAGAGATGGAAATGGTAAGGAGTGCAAGCAATATTTTACAAAAATTGATAATACCACTTCCTCCCTGAAAGGTTTATCAGTTTTAAANGATATTAAGGCTCCACCATTCTAATTAAAAGAGATGGAAATGGTAAGGAGTGCAAGCGATATTTTACAAAAATTGATAATACCACTTCCTCCCTGAAAGGTTTATCAGTTTTAAAAAAATGTTGACATTCCACAGCAACATCATAAAGGTAAAACTATAAACTGCAAACTTACTTTTCTGCAGCTCCTCAGGTGTCATACTCTGCAAGTCCAAGTGACCAAAGCATTGTGAGATACATGGTGTTTTGTACCATTAGTGAAACAACAACAAAACATTGCAGTCATCATATACCTGAGCTTTTGGGTTTGAAAGCATGCATCTAGCCATAAAGTTGGACAACCCATCCACCACATGTTCTTCATCAATAACTACATAATTTTCGTTATCAATTCCACTCCATTCTTCGACATTACTAGGAAACATTTCATCAGTAACCCAAACCCACCAACTCGCTTCTTCAAGACCAACATTAATCAGGCTTTCATCAAACTGTAAATTGGTTCCTAAATAAACAACCAAAGCAAGTAGCTACAAATGAACATATTTTGTGACTCAGAATTAATTGTTTGCATAAAGTATAGGATTAGAATTGTAATTGTACTGTCAAAAAATTGAAGAAACAAAAGAACCTGATGCATCCTTGAAAGGAAATTTGTAGCCAGTGCCATCAACTGATTTCTCATGGAGGTATTTAAGTTGACTCAGGAAGCTAGTAGAATCCACAGTAGCTACAAGTCGATTATGGAGCTGCAAAAATAAAAAATATATATCAATATGAATTTGGCTCTTTACAGGGAAAAAAGTGAAAACATCCAAACAAAATTAATGACTGCTACTTCAACACAATTGTCATAAACAGGTTTAGCTTAGGAAAAGAAGATACTGCATGAACCAAACTATCGGTCAACGCCCAATACAAGTATGAAGTAACATAAGAAACAAGACTAAAAAGGTCATTACCAAGTTTGTTTGGTCCCCATTGACCAAATATGCTGCAAAGGGTGGCTGATATAGACCTACCCTAAGGCATTATTTGCACAGAGTAGCTAACCTATATTCAAACCTACAACCTTGCATCGTTAATCTGAGCATTTTTACTGCTACATGAGGTAGCGACCATCGATCTGTTTCTCAACATGCAACTATAACCCTCCTATTTCTATCCTATCTATGAATGCTTAAGCAAGGGTCCCAGAGTTGTTACCGGGTGTGTTTCATTATTGGAGCATGCCGGGAGCCTGGGAGGTCTAGAGGGGGTGTACCTAGGGTGAACTAGTTTCCAAACCAAACTTTGACATTATTTGCACCGAGTGGTTTCCTCAAATACAAACACATATCCTCACAGTTGTTAAACTGACACTGTACAAATCATGTTTCTGCTCCAACAACAAAGCATGCAACATAGTAGTGCAATTAGCCAACAATTTAGGAGCCGAATACCCTCAAGAACATAAATTTTTTATCTTTTCAAAGGGCCACAGAGCTTTGGTCTCGCTTGTGGAATATTTCAGATAATGAAACACACTCTCTCTGATGGCAATCTGATTATAACAAAAAGACCCCTAGAGATTCTGAAGGAGCTGGAGGTTCTGATCAAGTAAGTTCCTGAACCATTGTCTCAGACATTATTTGGCTATTTGCACAAAGTTGCTTACCTCATATTAGAATACACAACCATGCAGTTGTTAGCCCCAGCATTTTCACTACCACATTATGCAAAATTCCTCTTCCCAATTTTTTTCACCGAAATCCCACGATAACCCTCCTGCTGCTTTCCTATCTCTTATAATTCATTAGGTAGGGTCATAGAGCATTTCCCAGTGTGGTACACTAACTGAGGGAGCTGGGAAAGCCACAGGAGTGTACCTGGCTTGAACTAGTTTCCAACCTATGCTTTGACATTATTTGCACAAAATAGCTCGCTGCAAATTTAAATAAACAAACTCAACGTGGTTAAACCGACACCGTTACATATAATGCTTCAGCTATGACAACAACTCATGCAACATAATACTGCAATTAGACAATAATTTAGGAGCCGAATACCCTCAATAAAACATAAATTTCGATCCTTCTCAAGGGACATAGAACTTTGGTCTGGCTTGTGCCATATTGCTGATATTGAAAAGACATGTCACATATATTGAATTTATTCTATACGTCCATGGATAGGTAGAAAACCCCAAGAAATCTTGTATTACCAAATTCACAAAATAACCAAAAATTGAATAACTATAACAAATTCAAACGTAATATACGCACATCGGGAGGGCAATCTTCTAACAAACAAGGAGACTCGGAGAGATTCTGAAGGAGCTTGAGGTTCTGTTCAAGCAAGTTCCTCAGCTGCTGATTCTCCGATCGCAGAGCCTCGAATTCCTCCCCCTTCGACAACGACGTCGTATCATTGAAATCTCCATCAACCTGGTGCTTTTCATGCGTGTTGCAGTGGTGGCGGTGGTGATGGCAACATTCCACGGCGGTCCATGCCACGTCGGCCACCTCCAACACCGTCTTCGCCACCGCTATGGGGTTATGTCCCACCATTCTTCTATCTTTGTATACGTTCGTGTATGTATTTTGGGAGTGACTTTGTGGTTTCGAAACCCTAGATTAGGATTGCGTGAAGGAGAGTCGTCAGGGTATGTTTTTGTTTGTTCTCGCCTACTCTTCTCCCTCTCGATGATCGGAAGAGTCCCCTCGACACAAGACAACGTTTGCCATAAACTAGTTAGTGTAAATCAAGTCTCGGAATTTACTTACCGAAAAAACAAATCCTCAAAATATTAATTTAATTTTTTTATTAAAATTTATTAAATTATTATAACGAAATAGTCTTTCATAACCGATACATGACTATGACTTGAGTAAAGGGCATATTTATATAATAAAAAATCTATTATGTCCAGGCTATCTATAATATAAAATAAGACGGCCTCAATAAGTCTATCAGACGATTTTAAATTCGTTCGTGAACGATCACTAACATCTCTTTTTATTTTTATTTTTTCTTTTCAAATCAGCTCAATCAATCACGCTCTCTCTATGTGCTGTCCACCCTTTTCACGTTTAATCTTCTCACTTCGCCCCATTCTCACGCCCTAATCCTCTCTAGGGCTTCCATTTTTCTCCTCTGCCCCTCTCACTCTATGGAATCATCTAATTAATCCACCTCCATGAGACCAACCACGGGCAAAGTCTAGGTACACTATCTTATGCCCTCTCCCTCACTTTTTGTTCGTCTCTCACTTTCTCTGTCTTTTAGCTCTCTTCATACACACAGCACATACACAACACACACAGGAACANGCAGGCTATCTATAATATAAAATAAGACGACTTCAATAAGTTTATCAGACGATTTCAAATTCGTTCGTTGAACGATTACTAACATCTCTTTTTATTTTTATTTTTTCTTTTCAAATCAGCTCAATCAATCACGCTCTCTCTATGTGTTGTCCACCCTTTTCACGTTTAATCTTCTCACTTCGCCCCATTCTCACGCCCTAATCCTCTCTAGGGCTTCCATTTTTCTCCTCTGCCCCTCTCACTCTATGGAATCATCTAATTAATCCACCTCCATGAGACCAACCACGGGCAAAGTCTAGGTACACTATCTTATGCCCTATCCCTCACTTTTTGTTCGTCTCTCTCACTCTCTCTGTCTTTTAGCTCTCTTCATACACACAGCACATACACAACACACACAGGAACACACAAAACGACACATACAACACAAGCACAGTACACACGCAGATCACACACTCACTCACACATACAGACCAACACGCATCTTATGCCCTCTCCCTCACTTTTTGTTCGTCTCTCTTAGTCTCTCTGTCTTTTAGCTCTTTGCATGCACACAACACATACACGACACACGTAAGAACACACAAAACGACACATACAACACAAGCACAATACACACGCAGATCACACACTCACTCACACATACACACCAACACGCATCTTATGCCCTCTCCCTCACTTTTTGTTCGTCTCTCTCAGTCTCTCTGTCTTTTAGCTCTCTGCATGCACACAGCACATACACGACACACGTAAGAACACACAAAATGACACATACAACACAAGCACAGTACACACGCAGATCACACACTCATTCACACATACACACCAACACGCACATAAACTGACACAGCCACCCCATTTCCACCAACCATAACCCCACCCTCTTCCTGCACATCAACTATTTGTTTAAATGCCTCACAAAATAATTTTCCTTATTTTGGTGGTTTTGTTAATTTATATGGATTGGGTGTTGTTTTTGGTATTTTGATTTGTCTATTTTGTGATTGTTATTGGGTAATCTGGCTTAACTTTAACATTATTAGGTCGCGATNGCTCACACATACAGACCAACACGCATCTTATGCCCTCTCCCTCACTTTTTGTTCGTCTCTCTTAGTCTCTCTGTCTTTTAGCTCTTTGCATGCACACAACACATACACGACACACGTAAGAACACACAAAACGACACATACAACACAAGCACAATACACACGCAGATCACACACTCACTCACACATACACACCAACACGCACATAAACTGACACAGCCACTCCATTTCCACCAACTAAAATCACCAATCATAACCCCACCCTCTTCCTGCACATCAACTATTTGTTTAAATGCCTCACAAAATAATTTTCCTTATTTTGATTTATTTTGGTGGTTTTGTTAATTTATATGGATTGGGTGTTGTTTTTGGTATTTTGATTTGTCTATTTTGTGATTGCTATTGGGTAATCTGGCTTAACTTTAACATTATTAGGTCGCGATTGCTATGGCGTCAACACAAATTGTTTGATTTTTCCGTGCATGTAATAGAAACAGTTAAATCTAGTTGTTCAAATCAATATATAACCAAAAAGAGATCTACGAGGAACAGTGCCTCTGGAAATAAGATATTGAGAAAATTCCTTTCTCTACCACTTTATTTGCTTATTCACATTGTACTCCGTGATTCAATTAATGGCCTATCACTAAAGTAATTTCCTTGAGTTTTACTTCAAATAAGAGGCGGTCATTAGTCAGAACATAGGAAGAAAGTGAGAAATCAAAAGCTAAGAACATGTAAGCTTCTTGGTGTGTACTTTGTTTTAAAATTGGTTTGTGTCCAGTATAGGTTGGCTTTTCTGATTTTTTGTGTGTTGACACAAGTGTTTTGATGTGAATTTTTTTTTTTGGTGGTTGTGATAATTGTTAATTATGTTAAGAATTGTCCTGGTTGCAAGTTTGACTTGGATTTTCATTTATTTGGTGAATGTGTAAATTCCTGATGATATGGTGATCCACATTATTTGATTTGTGAGTCCAATATTTAGTAGTGATATGTTCAATATCAATTTGATTTGGTCAAGTTAAGATTTTCTTGATTTGATATTATGTTCATTGATTTATTGAATTGTGGTTTGGGAGTATTCTTAATGTCATTAATGTATATGATTTTGCATAAATATTTCCTTTGGTAGTATATGGAATAGTTGTATAAATGTTTGTTTGATTTGTATTTACATCTTGAGTTGATTTGCATTGTGACAACCAAATGTCATTTGGTTACACATGCTTTGTATCCATACTATAAAAAAAAAACACTCAATTAAAATCCATGTTACATCTTGAGACTCATTACCTGTCGAAGTCTACTTGTCGGGACATCTATAATTCTATTTAACAGTTTCAAATAGATTCATTCAACGGCCACCAACATCACCAATATATTTTTCCCTTTATTCATGTCATATTAATTCTCTCCCACTCGTCTTGAGTGTTGTTTGTATGGTCTTTAATTTGTGCACAAGTCATTTTATGAATTTTTTTATTATTTATTTGGACTTGCTTGAGCGAAATAATTGTGTTTTGTTGTTTCACCTTTTGGGTACATATTTAATTTGGTCATCTACACTTCAACTTTTTTGTTGCTCAAGTGTTGAATGATCTTCACCTCTTATGAGTGGAACTTTTTTTAAAAATCTTTTCAGCATTTATTTTGATTTGATTGACATGAGCATTTGATATTTCAATTGTGTACATTGGTAGATATTTTTATGAGGTCCTATATTTAGAGAAAACTCTAATTTTTTTTTAAATAGTGGGTCCAATGTACGAATGGAGGATCGCTCCTCCTCTGCTTTCTATCTTTCTCTCTCTCTCTCTCTCTCTCACAACAGAACTACGATAGATATTCAGACCAACGCCACGACAAATATTCAGGTACGGGTTAGGAATTTAAGTAAGTAATTTCAATGTTAGGGTTTTGTTCTTACTTTTTAATGAATAATAAAAATATTATTTATTGGTAATTGGTATATGGATGATCATGGTTCGAGAGAATGTGCACTCCATGACTATTTTGACATTTGTGTCAGTCCAAATTGCACATGAGCTTGCTTTTTCATGCTAGACATCTTATTTGGACTTCAGGTTATATTCTTTTAGCTACAAAGTAGTTGAGAAAATTCGATATAATTATGAATTCATCACGTCACTAGATACTAGAGTTAGGTATGTTTTAAATGATTTTTCGGTGGTGGCTATGGTTGTGTTGGACACCTAAGATTTTAGTGTTGGAGATGATGTTGGGGCTTGAATTTGGTTGGGTATTCTGAGCATGAGATTTTTGTAGTGAAGTTGGGTATTCTAAAGACAAATTAATTCAATATCCATTTTTTTTGCTTCTTAATCCGAGTTATTGATTTTGTTGTGACTAGAAGGATCTTTTGAATAGTAAGATAAATTTTGTTTGAGCTGGTGCATTTGAGTTTCGATTGAATTGTTGTTGTGGTTAGCTATAATCTGATCCAAATTGGCATGAAAATTGTTTGATTGGCTTCTGTATATGAATGGGGCTAGAACTAGAAGAGTTGTGGTTTATCCCTAAAGCCAACTACCTTTCTCCAGCCTCTTAAATTCAAAAGCTTCAAGCTTTCTTTGACTCAAGCATGCCTTTGAATTTATTTGAAGTAGCAATAGTCTTTTGCCCTTATTGTTTTACTACATCACAAGTTTGCTGGAGCATTTTTTTCGTTTTCTTATTAGTGAATTAGCATCACATGTTAATTGGTTTGATGGTTAATTGAGGTTGGATTAGACCAGTGCTTCTACAATTTGGGGAAGAGTTGAGTTTAGTTTGGAAAAAATTTTTAGTTAGTTTAGGAAAAGAAAGTGGCAGAATGGGTTTGCAATGTATAATTCGAGGGTTTTGTTTTAATGCACACTACATGACTGAGAAAATAGTGCGTGACAGTCAAAAGACAATAAGTATGAATGAAAGTCAACAAATATGCTACATGCACCTCCCAAATTCAAAAATCTATTTGATGCAAGTAACGGTAATGAGTCAACAATAAGATTGCAGTGCCTTTAGAACTTCATTCTATATTTGTCGTTCAAATTTAACAAAATTTTCACTTATTTGCATTGAACCGAATGTGATCAAATATGAATAAGGTAAAAAATCTATATTATATAAACTTAAGCAGATTAACTTATTCGAACAAAAGAGATATTTTAATCAATGTAGAACATGTAATACTATGGGTAGAAGAGGCATTGACTGAATCAAATAACATATCAAAAACTCAGGCCATGATACAATTGAGATAGGAATGATTGATTGTTGAATTTGGTTAATTATTTGATATAGTTTTGTTGAAATTATTGTTGAAAAATAATTGTTAAAATTATTTGATGTAATTTTGGTGAATTATTTGTTG